TAGGCTCCTTCTGACACATTGACATTATGTGCTCCAGTTCATTTTCAACTGAAAAATAATTCCCCTTCTCTTTTTGGCAGAGTTCTTTCTACTACTTTATGCAGACAGCAAGGTTGAGGGTCATGCTGATCATCACATTGTCAGAGTTGATGTCTGATGTACAAGTGACTCAGATGAAGTCTGATGGAACACTAGAAGAGAGTGGTGAAGCAAGGCGTCTTCGGCAATCACTGGAGGAAGTGGCAGATGCCTCTAAGAGCCCCAGTCTTTTGAGAGAGTGTGGACTTCCTGAGAGTGCTCTGTTAGACATTCCAGAAAGAATGACAGAAAATAGATGGTCCTGGTCAGAAGTGAAGTATCTCTCCGAAAGTCTTCTTCTTGCTCTTGATGCCAGCTTGGAACACGCACTCCTGGTAAGTTTGACAATGCCTGCATAGCTTTATTTGTTATAGGATATTTTGTGTAAAATTAAATGATCTTGACCCTTTATCCTTTGTAGCTGGTAATTTGGAAGTTCAATGTTAGATTTTAATACCAGCTGCAATTTGGTTTGCAGGGCTCTTTGATGACTATGGACAGATATGCAGCTGCAGAAAGCTTCTATAGACTGGCTATGGCATTTGCCCCTGTCCCAGATCTTCACATAATGTGGTTACTGCATTTATGTGATGCACATCAAGAAATGCAGTCTTGGGCAGAAGCTGCTCAGTGTGCTGTTGCTGTGGCTGGTATTGTAATGCAGGTAACAGTGTTATGGTTTTTCACAATGCTATCTTGCATGAAACATTTGTCTGTTCTCAAAATTCATGACCTTTGAAGTGTCTCAAATGTTAGCACATTCCTATTTGTGTTGTGACTGACCTTGCAAACTTCCAAACTCTACATGTTTCTTTGTTGGTTGTGAGTTGTGACTAACCAACCTAATTTTATTTCTCTTCCCTCTCCATTTTGACATATTTTCTTGCTTTCTGTTACCTTCTTTTACCTACTTTGTTCTTAAGTTGTAGTTCAAAAGATTGTCAAGGACTAAGTGTGTTTAGGCTCTGGCACTAGTGCAATTTGGACAAATTCTTTGACTTTTTAAATTCATTTTTATTGGGTAATTTTAATCTGAGATTTGAGATATTTTAGTCGGTTGGAATGTGAAAGTTGAAAAAGTCAATAATTTATCAAAATGAGGCTTAGACCGGCTTAATTGTAGCCAAAACCCCGCACCAGCTAATGTGGCAGCAGTTATGTTGAAAACTTGAAAGTAATTGCTAGATATTGGCTATTCTGAGTTATGAGGAGCTGATGTAAAATTGAAATTACTTTGTGTATAGCTTGATGCATAATTATACCAGTCTTTTCTCTCTCTGCAGTGCTTGAGATCTGGTTTCTTATTAGTTTTGTAAGATTTTGGTGGATTACTCTGTATAGTAGAGAATTAAAAAATGGCTCCATAACTTTAAAACAGTTGCTCACTAGTTTACTTTCAGCTAATAGTCTATTTTTATTCTTCATAGGCCCTTGTGGCGAGAAATGATGGTGTTTGGAGCAAAGATCACATAACTGCTCTACGTAAAATTTGTCCAATGGTCAGCAATGAGATCAGCTCTGAGACTTCTGCAGCTGAGGTAGAAGGATATGGTGCATCAAAACTTACTGTTGACTCTGCAGTGAAGTACCTACAACTCGCAAATAAGCTATTTTCTCAAGCTGAACTCTTTCATTTCTGTGCAAGCATTCTGGAACTTGTTATCCCAGTTTACAAAAGCAGGAGGGCATATGGACAGCTGAGTAAATGTCACACGATGCTTACTAATATCTATGAATCAATACTTGAGCAGGAATCAAGTCCAATTCCGTTCACTGATGCAACATACTACAGGGTTGGGTTTTACAGTGACCGATTTGGAAAGTTAGATAGAAAGGAATATGTATACAGGGAGGCTCGTGATGTAAGGCTAGGTGACATAATGGAGAAACTTAGTCATATATACGAGTCTAGGATGGATGGCAATCACACGTTACACATTATTCCGGATTCCAGGCAGGTAAAGGCAGATGAATTGCAGCCTGGTGTCTGCTACCTGCAGATAACTGCTGTTGATCCAGTCATGGAAGATGAAGATTTGGGAAGCAGAAGGGAGAGAATCTTTTCTCTTTCCACTGGTAGTGTTCGTGCACGAGTCTTTGATCGTTTCTTGTTTGATACCCCATTTACGAAAAATGGAAAGACTCAAGGTGGATTGGAAGACCAGTGGAAGAGGCGAACTGTTCTTCAGACTGAAGGTTCATTCCCAGCTCTTGTGAATAGGCTTTTAGTTACCAAATCGGAATCGCTTGAGTTTTCCCCAGTAGAAAATGCCATTGGGATGATTGAAACTCGGACAGCTGCCTTACGAAATGAACTTGAAGAGCCTCGCAGTTCCGAAGGGGATCAACTCCCACGTCTCCAGAGCCTACAGAGAATTCTTCAAGGCAGTGTTGCAGTTCAGGTTGAAGTTTGCTCTCAAACTGTGTTTTTCTGAAGCAAGTGTATCAGTTGCTTACTTCATCATTCAAATTATATCTCTATATATTACTGATCAGATTTCTCTACTTTCTATTTGCAGGTTAACAGCGGGGTACTGAGTGTGTGCACTGCATTCCTGTCTGGTGAGCCTGCAACAAGGTTGCGGTCGCAGGAACTGCAGCAACTCATTGCCGCGCTCCTTGAATTTATGGCGGTATGCAAGCGTGCCATCCGTGTACACTTCAGATTGATTGGTGAGGAAGATCAGGAGTTCCACACACAGCTTGTGAATGGATTTCAATCTCTAACTGCCGAGTTGTCTCATTACATCCCTGCCATTCTGTCAGAGCTGTGACATTGTTGTAGAATTACTAGTGTTATTGTTTTGTTTCGTCTTTTCGTTTTTACTTTTTAGGTTTTTCTCCTTGTGCTGTTGCTGCAATGTGTCAATATCTTTCACGCACATGGTTTTGTTCATATATCTGGCCTATGTCTCAGCAGCAAAGCATGAATCTCAACATTGTTTCATCTAACAGTTTTAATGAATGTTTTTTTTTAAAGTTCTTTTGCCTTTTATTTATTTTTAACTTTTATTTTTATTTTTATAAATTTAGCTCCGGTTTACATCAAGTTGACATCCCCACTAAATTACATTTGGAAAGAACATGTAAGAACTACCATCTTACTTTAGGAGTTCCAAAGGGTTTCAATTCAACTAAAGGGTTCCTCCATAAATACTAGCAGCAAATCTTCTTTGACTTTGGTACGAAAAAATAAAAAAAAAAAAAAAAAAAAAAACTAACTATCAAATCGACAATTCCAGACAGCAGTAAAATGTCTGTTGTTTTAATGTTTATTTATTTTAAAATGAGTCAAAGTCGTATTAGAATTTCCAAAAAAACATCCCAATGATGAATAAAGAAGTACTACATGGAACATAACAGACTGGGAAAGAAAACAAGGAATTGAAAGCTCATGCATGGAAAGTTTAATATGTCTTCAAATTTTGTAGGTTCAAACTAAACCAAGTTTGCAACATTGAAAAAAAATAAAGAAGTACAATGATGAATTGGATTGAAACAAAACCATGTATTTTCAGGTCACATCAAAATTTGGTAAAGGCATACTTCAAGAGTGCTCGAGAAGTGCTGACCTGAACAGGAGAAGTTCATGTGACACACAAGACAGCTTTTCCTTTCAGTGAATGGAACATAGTGAAGTTGGTACAAGAGGTTGGGCTATCTTTAGTCAATAAAGAGATTTTCTCAGTATGGGATTATCCAGGTTATCAGAATAAGAGAGGCGCTGGGATATGTGAGTGCGACCAAACTTTTCCTGTAGGAAAGTGCAGCACCTTCAAATTTTCCAAGCAGTTGTACCCTTCTACTGCTTCCAGTTTCCTCTTTTCAAAACCATACCAAAAGAAGGCAAAAATATAGAAAATTGATTGCAATTAGTAGCTACCAACGGAAATGGGGCTGTTGAGCAGTGACAGAGGAAGTGGGGGCAGAGGAGAGCTTGATTCTTCGGAGCTTTTGAGCTCTGGATGCGGCGGTACAAATATATATATATATATATATATATTAAAAATAGTATATCCGTGCAGCTATACTCTTAAAGATCATGGTATATGCTCCTAATATATATATTTATGAAAATGGTATAGCCGGCCGGCTATACTCTTTAAATATATATTTTTATTTAAAGAGTATATCTGCGCGGCGGTACTTGTTAAATATATTTTTTTATTGCAGGCGTATGGCCGAACGGCTATACGGATTAAATATATTTTTTTTATTGCAAGGGTATTGCCGGACCGCTATACTGTTTAAATATATTCGAATATTTAAATAGTATAGCCGCCCGGCTATACGTTTTAACTATATTTTTTTATTTAACTAGTATAGCCGAGCGGACGTATTAAAAATATATATATTTTATTTAAAAGATCTAGCCGCACGGCTATACACTTTAAATGTATATTTTTATTTAACGAGTATAGCTGCGCGGCTATACGCTTAAAATATATTTCTTTTATTTAAAGGGATATAGCCGGCCGGCTATACGCTTTTAATATATATATTTTTATTTAAAGATTATAGCCGTTCGGCTGTACGCGTTAAATATATATATATTTCTCTCTCTCGTATCGAACCCATAACCCTAGCCAACTCTGGGTCTCTCTTTGCTTTCCCATCGAACCCAGAACCCCAGCCAACCCTTCTCAAGACACCCAAATACTTCTCTTTCCCCATGACCTCATGTTCCGATCGAGTTTTTTATTTTTATAAATTTAGGGTGGGTTTACCTCAAGTTGAATCTTTTTGACATCCCCACTCAATTGCAGTGGGAAAGAAAAACATTTAAGAACTACAATCTTACTTTAGGAGTTGCAATTAAGAATTTCCTTGAAGTTCATACTGTTTGAAGTCCCAAAAGAGAAAAATAATAGCAAGTCAAGGAATTCTGAGAAAGTTGAAGAAGAAGAGAGAACCAAATCACAATGGAAGTGTTTAGCTTTAAGAGAAAGATTAAGCATTACAGCAGCGATCAGAAGATACTCTTAGTGGGAGAAGGAGACTTCTCTTTTGCTGTTTGCTTAGCCAGAGCTTTTGGATTGGCTATCAACATGGTTGCGACTTCTCTCGACTCCAGAGGTAACTTTTGAATCACCATTGAACTGTGTCAACGTCCAAGTACGCCCACTTTTACTCATTATTTATGCCCAATTCCCTGGTTTTCAAGCAACCCCGTTTGAAATTTTAATAAAAACAACCAACTGGTTTTGTATTTGGTCCTAAAGTTCACATTTTGGTAATGACCCAAAGGAAATAATAGATAGAGGGGACCAAAGATGTTGTCTTTCAAATAGAAAAGCCTAGAAAGTTCCTGATTGAAATAGTTTGCATGCTGATTGTAGAGTCTTTGATGGTGAAAAGATAGATAGAGGGTTTCTGAATTCTGATTGAAATCCTTTGCATCCTAATTGTAGGGTCATTAATGGTTAAGTAATAGATAAAAGGGCCCAAAGATGCAATCTTTTATTTTATAAGAAAAAAATTAGAGGGTTCCTTATTGAATCCTTTGCATTCTAATTGTAGAGTCTTTGATGCTGAAGTATTCAGAAGCTATGAGCAATGTGGAGGAATTAGAGGCCAAGGGATGCATAATATTGCATGAGGTGGATGTCCACAGCATGAGCCGACACCCTTTGTTGATTAGCATACGCTTTGATCGCATAATCTATAATTTTCCTCACGCAGGTTACTTGCATGGTCCCTTTTCTTCTGAACACAACAGGTTCCAAATTTGGTAAGTTAAAACAAATCCATATATGCATCCCCTTTAAAGATCATGGTATATGCTCTATGGTATTTTGCGTTCATAATGTGTTCCTTATTGAAGAGCTGAAACAATGTAGTTTTGAGCTTAACCAGAACACTACCAAAAAAAAATGTAAATAGAGGATTTTGAATTCTAAATGAAATTCATGCATTTTCAGGTTTCATCAGGATTTGATCAGGGGATTCCTCCAGAATGCACGCGAAATGCTGACTGCAATAGGAGAAATTCATGTGACACACAAGACAAAATTTCCTTACAGTGAATGGAAAATAGTGGAGTTAGCACAAAAGGTTGGGTTATATCTGGTTCATGAAGAACAGTTCTCACCATGGGATTATCCAGGTTATGAAAATAAGAGAGGAGCTGGGATGTGTGATCAAACGTTTCCTGTTGGAATGTGTAGCACCTTCAAATTTGCCAAGCTGTTGTGCCATTCTACCACTTCTGGTTTCCACCTTGGCATTACTACTTCAGGTCCATGGTCTGGATATTCTGGAATTAATGGTCCTCGCATGCAACGGTAAGCCCCTGCATATGAACTTTGTTTTCTTTGATTTAAATTTGTTGTGATTTTTAATACTACAATGAGCAAGCGACTTGCATGAGCCTAAATCTTTTTCAGGGCCAATACGCCAAATGAGAATGAGCTTATGTTTCTGTTAAGCAAGTGACATTCGTTACCATTGTTTGCAAGTCAACTACTTTGTTTGGACTATCTGAATATAGCTAAATCTAGGGTGCATCTTCAGCTAGAAAGTATGCCTATCAAGTTTTATATTCGCTATTAAATGTGCCAACGTTCGTGGAAGTTCTGGAATGAATTATACACACTTTCAGTTTCATATCTTTGGTTTTAACTTTTAAACCATTCCATGTAATATGTAAACGCAGTATTCAATTGAATAATATGAAATCAATTGAGTAATAGAGATTTAAAATGTCCTGTGTATTGCCTACTTAAAATCCTTTTCCTGTCACCACATAAGTGTATTTGGCTCATAATACATACATATTGAGGACTAGCTGCTTCAGGTGTTTGAGGACTGATATATGTCTACTATATTTAACACTCTGTGATTTGGCAGGTAATGTGCCCTACATGCCTTTGCACTGGAATGGCGATGGCAAGCAAGCATGACCCTCGGATCGATCCCTTGATTAGAAGAAGTGCATTGCCGTCAATAGTTCCCCCCTTCACCACTTTAAACCTCTTTGCCATACATATATCCTCCCCTGAATAGTGACATAACCAAAGGGAAGGGACTTCTGTATATATACTGACTGTTCAAGAATATGATTAGACATCTGAACGCAATTGAAAGGTTTTCTTCACTTGTGCAACTTTGCCATTTAAATAAAAGTCAATAGTGATGAGGTTCGGTGAGGCGTGCGTACTGAATCAATTGGTTCCCTGATAATGATGGACTTTAGGCCTCTGTTTTTCCGTGTTATGAGGGCCTGGATACTGCCATCCCATGAACAACATCCAATATTGTGAATTCTTTTTTTCCGAGTTAGAGTAAAATTGATGCAAAATCACTTGCTCCAATTAACCAATGCTAACCTTGTAAAATTCAGGAAGATTGTGAAGCTTATACACCTCATTGACAGCTTGAATCTGCTTTGTTATCTAAAATGGTTGGAGTTGAAAAATCTCACATATGCAGCTAAAAAACAAGCAAGCAAGATATTAATGTTTCAGAATCCCATGTTTTTGGCTAACTAGTTACAAAATTTTACATCTAAATAAAAAACTCAAAACAACATGACTTGTAAGTTGTATAAAGAGAAAGCTTGCAGTCATACCTCAGCTAACCCAGCAGCAATAACTTCTATCGACACAAAGGTCCAGGTGTGATCATTGTTAACAAAAACCTCCCACTTGCTTCCAATACCAATACCTGTTTTACAATAACAAAATGTGTTAGAAACCAAAAAATGGGAAATGGTTTACCGCAAATCAGCATTATGTTCAATAAAAGAAGTAAAAATCATGCACGCAATAGAATTATGTTCATACCGCCTCTGAATCTGAAGCTTCTGCCGAAGCATTGTGACCAGGGAGTCAACCTGGTGCACTCGGATTGGTACAGATTTTCCCAGACTTATATGGCACTCTCTACCCAAAGCAACCCGTTCAAGCTTGTGCTCATCGTTGCGCAAAATTTCGACAGGGACGTCGACGTCGACAGCATGGAGATGGGGCACCATAGAAGCTAGCTTGTTCAAAAATAAGGCCATCTCTTTCCCTGGTGCTGGTGGTATATGAACTGCAAGTATACAACTAATCAAGGGTCTAAAGGCTCTAAGGGCTCTAAGCTCTCAAAGTCATGGCATCTGCAAGTATGCGGTTTAAATATATTTTTTTATTGCAAGGGTATAGCCGCGCGGCTATACTGTTTAAATATATTCGAATATCTAAATAGGTTAGCCGCACGGCTATACTTATTAAATATATATATATTTATTTAAAAGGTATATATATATATATATATTTTCTCTCTCCCATCGAACCCAGAACCCCAGGAGCCAACTCTCGGTCTCTCTTTGCTTTCCCATCGAACCCAGAACCCTAGCCAACCCTTCTCAAGACATCCAAAAACTTCTCTTTCCACATGACCACCCACAAGACCCCCTCCTCCTGCTCCCAGCCCCTCAGAACCTAGAGCCCAACCCACCCGAAACCCCACCCTCCCCCAACAAAAGATGCAAAGTGTTCGAAATTTTTTATTCTTTTCAAATTTTGAATTTGCAGAGAGAGAGAGAGAGAGAGAGAGAGAGAGAGAGAGAGAGAGAGAGGATCTAGTGTGAATGTGAATGAAGTAAATCATATAATACATCTTTGACATATTTTACTTTGTATTTTATACTACAGCTACAGGTATACCTCAAGTTTTAATGAATGTTGTTTTAAGTTCTTTTGCCTTTTGTGTTTTATTCTTCTATTTATTTTCGGTCCTTGACCTCATGTTCCGATCGAGTTTTTTATTTTTATTTTTATAAATTTAGGGCAGTTCGAAAGAAAAACATTTAAGAACTACAATCTTACTTTAGGAATTGCAAGTTTTGAAGGGTTTCAGCAAATCAATCTACAATTCCAGATAGCACTAAAATGTTTATTTATTTTTATTTTCTAAAAGGAGTAGTCGTATTAGATTTTCCAAAAAGGAAGTTGCAGTAAAAAAAAACAGCAAATGTAAAAAGCCAGATCCAAGAGAGTTTGAGAGTGTTTTTGATTCAGATTCTTTTGAATTTGGCTGACCCGATGTTTTGGACAAAAGTATATAAAGTGTTATAAACTCTTTTACCTCGTCGATGTGGGATTGAAGTATAAGAGACAGGACAAAGCTTCTTCTACACTTTTTCAACCATCTTTTATTACAGAATTAAAGATTAGATGATTTAAGACGTAATATCTTCTCCACATCATGCTTTGTTTTAGTTTATTTGAAGTTTGTGGTGAAACAAATTAAGATTAAGTTTTAGTGGGAGAAGGAGACTTCTCTTTTGCATTTTGCTTAGCCAGACAATTTGACTCTGCTAGGAACATTGTTGCAACCTTCTCTCCACTCCTGAGGTATTTAGATCAACACTGACATGTCTCAACATACATTACCATTGTTTGCATGTCAACTACTTTGTTTGTACCATCTGAATATAGCTAAATCTAGGGTGCATCTTCAGCTAGAAAGTAGGCCTATCAAGTTTTATATTCGCTATGAAATGTCCTACCGTTCGTGGAAGTTCCGGAATGAATTATGCACGCTTTCAGTTTCATATGTTTGGTTTTAACTTTTAAACCATTCCATGTAAAATGCAAACGCAGTATTCAATTGAGTAATAGAGATTTAAATTGTCCTGTTTATTGCCTACTTAAAATCCTTTTCCTGTTGCCACATAAGTTTATTTGGCTCATCATACATACATATCGAGGACTAGCTGCTTCAGGTGTTTTGAGGACTGATATCTGTCAACTATATTTAACACTGTGTGTGTGATTTGGCAGGTAATGTGCCCTACATGCCTTTGCACTGGAATGGCGATGGCAAGCGAACATGACCCTCGGATCGATCCCTTTGATTAGAAGAAGTGCATTGCCGTCAATAGTTGCCCTCTTTACCACTACCTCTTTGCCATACATACATCCTCCCCTGAGTTGTGACGTAACCAAGGGATGGACTTTAGGCCTCTGTTTTTCCGAGTTATGAGGACCTGGATCCTGCCATGAACAACATCCAATATTGTGAATTCTTTTTTTCCGAGTTATGAGTAAACTTCATGCACAATCACTTGCTCCAATTAACCAATGCTAACCCTGTAAAATTCAGGAAGATTGTGAAGCTTATACACCTCATTGATAGCTTGAATCTGCTTTGTTATCTAAAATGATTGAAGTTGAAAAATCTCACGTATATTTTTTGTCTAACTAGTTACAAAATTTTACATCTAAATAAAAAACTCAAAACAACAAGACTTGTAAGTTGTATAAAGAGAAAGCTTGCAATCATACCTCAGCTAACCCAGCAGCGATCATTGTTAACAAAATCATCCCACTGCAAGTTTTACAATAACAAAATGTGTTAGAAACCAAAAAAATGGGAAATGGTTTACGGCAAAAAATGTAAAATTCATGCATGCAATAGAATAAGCATACCGCCTCCGAATCTGAAGCTTCTGCCAAGCATTGTGACCAGGGAGTCAATACAGTTGTTCCCAGACCTATATGGGACTCTCTACCCAAACCAACCTGTTCAAGCTTGTGCTTATCCTTGCGCAAAATCTCGAGAGGGACGTCAACGTCGACAGCATGGAGACCAGGCACCAGAGAAGCTAGCTTGTTAAAAAATAAGGCCATCTCTTTCCTTGGTGTTGGTGGTATATAAACTGCAAGTATACAATTAATCAAGGGTATAAAGCCTCTAAAGGCTCTAAGCTCTCAAAGTCATGGCATTTGCTAATGAAACTATAAGTAGTCAATTGGAGAATTTGGTAATGGAACTGAGCATTAGAGAATTTGGTTGCCTGGGCCGGGATTGGGGCAAAAAGAGAAGAGGTGGGGGCAGAAAATTGATTGCAATTAGTAGTTACCAACGGAATTGGGGCTCTTGAGCAGTGACAGAAGAGGTGGGGGCAGAGGAGAGCTCGATTCTTCGGAGCTGTTGAGCTCTGGAGGTGGCGGTGGAAATATATTTAGAGAAGGAAATATAAAATATAAACAGTATTGCGGCTATACTATTTTAAATATATTACAATACTTAAAGAGTAAATATATATTTTTTATTTTAAGTGTAGAGTCGAGCGGCTATACTCCTATATATATATATTTAAAGAGTACATATATATTTATTTATTTAAAGCGTATAGCCGCGCAGCTATACTCTTCACATATTTTAATTTGTATTTTATACTACAGCTACAGGTATCAGGAAAAGCATGAATCTCAACATTGTTCATCTAACAGTTTTAAAATGAATGTTGTTTTAAGTTCTTTGGCCTTTTGTGTTTTATTCTTTTATTTATTTTTGGGCCTTGACCTCATGTTCCGATTGAGTTTTTTATTTTTATTTTTATAAATTTAGGGCGAGTTTACTCCAAGTCGAATCTTTTTGACATACCCACTCAATTGCAGTGGGATAGAAAAACATTTAGAGCATCTCCACCCACAAGGGCTAAGTCTAAGGCAAGGGCAAGCAAGGGCTGCCACTATTCACGTGAATAGTGTCAGCCTTTGCATTTGTGGTTCCACCCATGAGGGCAAAGTCTAGGGCAAGTCTAAGGCAATTACTATTCATTGTACTTTATTTCCTATTTGTTTATACTTTAAACTATTAATTTTGATAAGCTTTTTAGATTATATTTTCGGTTGTCACGTGTCACTATTTATTATAAAATTTTCATTTAAAATTTAAGATAACATTTTTCGAATAAAATTTTCAAATAAAATTTTTGGATAAAATTTTTTGAATAACATTTTTGGTTTTGCCTTGACTAATCTATTAAAAAAAAAGAAATTGGAAATGCAAGAAATATATATATAAAAAAAGACATTAAATTGAATAAATTTTTTTTTTTTTTTTTTTTTTTTTTTTTTTTTTTATTTTGATGTGGAAAGTGAAAAATATTGGAAGGAGATGAGTTTTTATGAAGATTTGGTGTAGAAAGTGAATAAAATGGTTAGGTATTTATAGGGAAAAAATACAGAATTTTTTGGTATTTAAAAAAAAAATTCAGAATTTTTCAGAATTTTTTCGAATTTTTTTTGAATTTTTTTGGCCAAAAAAAAAAAAAATTTCTGTTTTACTGTGCGCTGACGTCAGCGTGACGCCAGCCAACTCGGGCTTCAGCCCGGGCAAGACTTGCCCTTGGGCTTGCTCGGGCACGTGGGACCCACCACCAAACCGGGCTACGGGCCCTGCGCTGGAGCTGCCTCAGGCTCCCTCTGGCAGCCTTTCCCCCGGGCTGGGCTTTGCGCTGGAGATGCTCTTAAGAACTACAATCTTACTTTAGGTGTTGCAAGTTTTGAAGGGTTTCAGCTAAAAATTACATCCACAAATACTAGAACCAATATTTTTAAACTAAAAAAAAAAAAAAAAAAAAAAAAAAAAAAAAAAAAAAACTAGAGCATCAAAAATCAAACGAAGTTTTACAGATAAAAACAGTAAAATGTCTGTTGTTTTAATGTTTATTTATTTTTATTTTCTAAAAAAAGTAGAATCGATTTTAAAAAAATAATTTCCGAAAAAGGAAAAAAAAAAAAAAAAAAAAAAAAAAAAAAAAAAAACAAAAAAAACGGCCAGACCCAACAGAGTTTGAGTGTGTTTTTGTTTCAGATTCTTTTGAATTTGGCCGACCCATTGTGTTGGGCAAAAGTATATAAAGCGTTATAAACTCTTTTACTCGTCGATGTGGGATTGAAGTACAAGAGACAGGACATAAACAGTGGCACACATGGAACACAAACAGACCGGGAAAGAAAACAAGGAAATGAATGCATGCATGCATGGAAAATTTAATGTGAGACATTTCAGGGTGAGCCTAACAGTTGCCTCTCTGGCCTGCAACTCTTTATAAGTAGATGTGATCAGCATCGTTGCTGAAAGAGTACCGGAGAAAATGTTCAAATAAATTTAGTCCCGGAAAATGAACAGAAGTTAAAGAATTGGGACGAGTTTCAAGTAAGTTGGAAGAGAAGAAGATGGAACTATTTGGCTACGATGAGAAACGGATTAAGCACTACAGAAGTTCTCAGAAGATACTCTTAGTGGGAGAAGGAGACTTCTCCTTTTCAGCTTGCTTAGCCAGAGCATTTGGCTCTGCTGCCAACATATGGTTGCAACTTCTCTTGACTCCAGGGGTAATTGGATCGTCTTTGACTGTTTCACAAATTCTGATTATAAGATATATACTTTGATGTTAAAGTTACCTCATTAAGGTATTTGCTTCTAATATTTATATAACAAATCTGAAAAGTTAATATTATATTAATATTAATATTAAAGAATAGCCTAAACTCTAGGTCCATCTTCTAAGTCCATTATATTAATATTAAAATCATGCATTTTGTAATTTTCAGGTTGCATCAAATTTTGGTGATGGGATACTTGAAGAGTTCCAGTGAGATGCTGATCAGAAGTGGAGACGCACAGGACTTCATATCCTTTCACTGACTGGGAAATGGAGAAGTAAACAGAAGAGGTTGGCTTGTTTTTGGTTAAAGAGGCATGTTTGGCAGGCTGGACTAACCTGGACTAGCCTGGACAGTGTTAAATAACACTTTAAAACCCACGTTTGGTGAAAGAGGGACTAACATAAATGGGATTGTATAGTCCGCTGGTGAAAAAATCACCGGACTCGCTCGTCCAATACTGCGAGGATGAAAAGCAGTTCGCAAAATAGCGAGCGTGCTATTTTGAAACATCGAGTCCGACCCACACAGCGACCTCCATGAGCTGCTCCTGGTTGATGAGGATCCTCCCCGTTCATGTCGGGCAAGATGGCGGTGACTAGCTCGTCGAACTCGATGGTGCCGTTTCCGTTGGCAACAAGGACGTGGAGCTAGTCGCCGGTGGGCTTGAGGTTGGGAAAGACCTCCATACCTGCCGATCTGAGTACAGAAATGCTTGTGTAAGAAAATGGGTCGACTATTCCCCTGATTGTGATGATACCAATCCCTCATATCCCTTTTACGATTTTGAGAAGGAATTACAAAAACAAAGCCAAGCAGGGACTTTATTATGGTTACTGGATTCGCATTGTATGCTACCAGGAAGAAGAAAGGGATCGAAAAGATCCCAATTGTGTTTTGGTATTTTTTTAATTTTAATTTTGTGGTGTGGTTTGTCAAAAGTTGTGGCGTGGGGTTAATTGGGTTTATTCTATTTTTCTCTCTGGAAATCTGGAAAGAAAGACAGAGCCAGAGAGAGAGAGGAAGACAGATGGGAAAGAAAGGCAGAGCCAGGGAGAGAGAGGAAGGAAGAGGAAAGAACGAGAGAATGGTTTTTTTATTTTTTATTTTTTTAATACAAATTAATTTTTATAAAAAAAATTCACACATCAACCCCAATTAAATATCCCTAATTAAATTTAAATATTACAAGAATTATTTTTTAGTCCGACACAACACCAAACATAGGTCTTCACTATTTTTACAATCCAACTTTTTAGTCCGACACAACACCAAATGTAGGTCAGTATTTAATCCACCTTAAACCAGTATGAGCTAATCCAAGATAGTCCAAGGACTTAGTCTAATCCATAACAGTCCGTCATACCAAACGACCCCGAAGAGTTTTCACCATGGGACTATCCAAGTTACAAAAGTAAAAGAGGAGTTGGGAAATGTGATAAAAAATTTCACGTTGGAGAGTCAAGCACCTTCATATTTGCCAAGCGCTTGTACCCTTGTGCTGCTTCCAGTTTCCACCCTGGTGCTTTGAGCATTAGTTTATGGTCAGCTGACATAGTAGATATGGCTTGCACTTATTCAGAGAGCTTAGAAAGGAAGAAGCCAAAGCATGGCCACAAGAATTTGAGATCTCCATAAGATTTGAAGATTTCCAAGATCAAAATCCTCACTACCATTGTTGGATACTTCATGTTGAATTAGAATCCCTGCTCTATCTAAGACCATAAGGCAAATTATTTTTAATTTCATTTTATGGTTTATGTTGCTCTTTATCTCTAACATTTGCTTCATAGGCACTACTTAGTACTTACTACCTCCTCGCACATTTTGTTTTGGGTTTTCCAAAATGTAATGCATGGTTACACTTTTTTTATAAATAAATAAAAGTACAAGCGATAGTTTAAATTATATAGGAGGGGGTTTCTCTCACACACAATCAAGATATCATGAGGGTTCGAACCTAAAACCTTTGTATCTGGTCTGCAAGTCAAGGCCCTCCCTGAGCTAAGTACTTGTTTAGTTGTTTTGATGATATGGAGTAAGATTTAACTGACAGAAAGCTTCCAAAGGAAGGAACCTAAAAAGCCCCAACTTCTAAAAGAAGGCCACAGCTTCTAAAGGAAGTCTTATAAAGGAGGGCATAATGGAAGTTTTTACTCACAAATGAATTTTGTAATCTATATATATAAAGCAAAAGGTAGGGAATGGTGAAACATTCAAAATACCCAAAAATGCCATTGGTTAATGCAAACATTAAGAATTGAAATTATTAATTAAATTAAGATAATATGGTAAATTCACACTTTTTCATATTAAAAAATTAAAATATAAAATCAATCATATTTTTTTTGTTTTATGCTAATATTTTATGGAATCATTTTTTTTTTTTCAAATAAATCAATAAAAATTAAAAAAAAAAAAAAAAAAAAAAAAAAAAAACTCTCTCAGGCGCGGAAGTGCGTGCTGAGAGGTTAGTATTTTGTAAATATGTTGGCTCTTTTTGTTTTCCTTTCAAATTTGTATTTAAAAAAAAATAGTAAATCACTTATGTTAAATAATAATTGACAGTCGTCGCTAGCAAAAGCCAGGAAAACAATGACCAAAATTTAAATAGACGGAGAAAGAAAAGGGTCAAAACACATTGACCAAAAACGTAATTAAATCTTTCATTTTCAGCTTTCATGTTCAAAAATACGTTCCTTTGTTTTTTGTCATTCGAGGAGGAGAGTTTGGTTCATTTTTTCACTGTCGTGCCACCCCACGTGCCTTTTATATAACCTTTAAAATCACCTTTGTTTTTGTTTATTTCAAAAATTCAAACCGTTTTTATTTTTAACTCGTTATTTCATAAATAACAAAAAAAAAAAAAAAAAAAAAAAAAAAAAAACTACTAAAAATATTATGTAGTTATTACCAACAAAATAAACGAATATGGTGTTTGAAGAAAACATAAAATGACAATCATTTAACTAAATGGTTAAACTATTTCGAATTTCGAAAGGAAGATTCTTTTCCCACATTTGGTAATGCTGGGAAAATAATCGGGAGATGTCACTTTATTTCCTTTCCCATGTTTGTTTTGAGTATGAATGGAAAACAAAGTTTGTATAAATTTTCAATTATACTCATATTAAATTAAATAAAAAAGAATGCATTTAATGATATATTATAATTCTAAATTGTTAATAGGGACAAAATGGTCATGAAAAATGTGTATTTAATATTGGCTTATTTTCCTAAACTTTTCCATGAGAAGGGAAAACAAAACCCAATGTGGGAGGATGACTTCACTTTCCCCCTTGCTTTCCCATGGACCAGACAACGATTTCTCATGCTTGGACTTACTAAACATGGGAAAGCAATTGATTTCCCATCCCCAAGTCTTCTTTCCCATGAACCAAACGGGACTTAAGGCCCGTTTGGTTCATGGAATGAATTTGAGGCGAAATCATTTACCATGTCATCCTCCAAGGAATGGGAATAGAAGATTCCTTTCTCACGTTTGGTAACGCTGGGAAAATAACCGGGAAATATCACTTTATTTCCTTTCCCATACTTGTTTTGAGTAGGAATGGAAAACAAAGTTTGTATAAATTTTCAATTATACCCATATTAAATCAAATAAAAAAAGAATGCATTTAATGATATATTGTAATTCTAAATTGTTAATGGGGATAAAATGGTCATAAAAAATATGAATTTAATGTTAGCTTATTTTCCCAAACTTTCCCATAAGGAGGGAAAACAAAACCCAAGTTGGGAGGATGGCTTCACTTTCCCTCCTACTTTCCCATGAGCCAGACAACGATTTCCCATACCTAGACTAACCAAACATGAGAAAGCAGTTGATTTCCCATTCCCAAGTCTCCTTTCCCATGAACCAAACGGAGCCTAAGGGTTTTCACAAGGTAAAGTGTTGGGGATACAAATTGATTCCACACAACATTCATTTACACGGTTGCCCCCTTAGGGGATTCCACCGAATGAAGTAGGAGATTGACATGATTTACAAGAGTTATCTCTTTCACAAAATAAAAGTAAGGCTGCCTAAAAGTAAAGTATAACTTAAAATATAAGTAAAGTAGAAAGACAAAGACATTTACTTCAACGTTGTCAATAAATAAGGGCAGCATGAACTCAAACCCGAAGCAATCAATCTGACCAGATTTTTCAATACAAACAGATGCACTCTTAGAAGATTCCACCTCTGGAAAGCGCCTAACTTCTTTTAGTTTTCCAAATTAAAAATCAAAATGCAAATCAGTTTTCGCAAACCCAACCACTACTACATCATTGTGTGAAACGAGCAGATTCCTTTCATGCACTAACTCTTTAAACTTTTTTTCCCTTCATGTTCAAAAGTACATCCTTTTTTGTTATTGTTGAATTATCGTCTTACATAGCTTTAAAATACCAAAAATGATAAAGTAGAGATGATGTTTTAATTTGTAAGCGTTCGACAAATATTAATACCGACTCAAACTGTTTTAAGTCCCAAAAGAGAAAAAAAGAAGGAATTCTGGGAAAGTTGAAGAAGAAGAGAGAATCAAATCAGAATGGCAGTGTTTATCTTTGAGAAAAAGATTAAGCATTACAGCAGCTATCAGAAGATACTCTTAGCGGGAGAAGGAGACTTCTCTTTTTCTGTTTGCTTAGCCAGAGCTTTTGGCTTGGCTGTCAACATGGTTGCGACTTCTCTTGACTCCAGAGGTAATTTAGATTACCATTGACTTGTGTCAACGTCCAAGTACTTCAATTTTTACTCTTTATTTCTGCCCATTTCCTTGGTTTTCAAGGAACCCAATTTGAAATTTAAATAAAAACAACCAACTAACTCTAAATTTGGTTACTTTTTCTGTCTGCAATTTAACTATGTCTGGTTTTAGAATTTACATTTTGGTAATGACCCAATGGAAATAATAGATAGAGGGGACCAAAGATGTTGTCTTTCAAAAAGAAAGGAAAAAACCTGGAAGGTTCCTTGTTGAATCCTTTGCATTGCATGCTAATTGTAGAGTCTTTGATGCTGAATTATTCAAAAGCTATGAGCAATGTGAGGGAGTTAGAGGCCAGGGGATGCAAAGTATTGCATGAGGTGGATGTCCACAGCATGAGCCAACATCCTTTCTTGATTAGCGTACGCTTCGATCGCATAATCTATAATTTTCCTCACGCCGGTTACTTGCATGGTCCCTTTTCTTCTGAATACAACA